CTGTCTACCAGGAATCAACATTTCAGAGGAGACTGGGCTATCCTTGATGGGTCACACTTCAAAATAAAATTTCACTCTGCATCTAACCCTGTGCTGTCCCTGTCCTGGGCATGATTGATGGGGACAGTGTGGAAGGAGCTTTAGTCTGTGTCTACCAAAGCCATGATCACATTAAATGGTGCAGCAGGTTCGAAGGGCTGAATGGCCTACTGCTGCTCCTGTTGTCTTTGTTGTTACGCCTCTCTCACTCTCTGAAGGTCAGAACTGAACCCCGACCGCAATCTCTCAATCCTCTGTCTCTCAGGGAGATAGTTATATTGACTGGTGACTCTCTCTCTCTCTCTCTCGCTCATACAAATATTTCTACTCTGACTGGAGTCTCTCACAGTGATTCCTGTACACTAATTAGATTCTCACAGTCCCATTTCTCTCTCTCAGGGAAATATCTGTACACTGACTGGTGTCTCTGAGTCCCTTCTCTCTCTCAGGGAGATATCTGTACACCAACTGGTATCTCTCAGTCACCCCTCTCTCAGGGAGATATCTGTACACTGACTGGTGTCTCTCAGTCCCTTCTCTCTCAGGGAGATATCTGTACACTGACTTGTGTCTCTCAGTCCCTTCTCCCTCTCAGGGAGATATCTGTACACTGACTGGTGTCTCTCAGTCTCTTCTCTCTCAGGGAGATATATGTACACTGACTAGTGTCTCTCAGTCCCTTCTCCCTCTCAGGGAGATATCTGTACACTGGCTGGTGACGCTCAGTCCCTTCTCTCTCAGGGAGATATATGTACACTGACTAGTGTCTCTCAGTCCCTTCTCCTTCTCAGGGAGATATCTGTATACTGACTGGTGTCTCTCAGTCCCTTCTCTCACTCAGGGAGATATTTATACACTAGCTGGTGTCTCTCAGACCCTTCTCTCTCAGGGAGATATCTGTACACTGACTGTGTCTCTCAGTACCCCCTTTCTCAGGGAGATATCTGTACACTGACTGGTGTCTCTCATTCACCCCTCACTCAGGGAGATATCTGTACACTGATTAGTGTCTCTCAGTCCCTTCTCTCTCTCAGGGAGATATTTGTACACTAGCTGGTGTATCTCAGTCCCTCCTCTCTCAGGGAGATATCTGTACACTGACTTGTGTCTCTCAGTCCCTTCTCCCTCTCAGGGAGATATCTGTACACTGACTGGTGTCTCTCAGTGCCCCCCTCTCAGGGAGATATCTGTACACTGACTGGTATCTCTCAGTACCCCCTCTCTCAGGAAGATATCCATACACCGACTAGTGTCTATCAGGCCCCCCTTTCTGGGTTTACGTGTGTAGAGACTGTTGAAGCCTGATTCCCAAGGATCCCTCAATTCCATGCTTGTGCCTTTGAGAATCACAAAATGGTCCTATTCAAGGCTCCTTTATTCACTCTGAGGTAAATTCAACAAAATCAAAGAAATCTGCTCTTTAAAAGAGAAGCTGTGGATATCCTCTGATTCAAACTGTGACAGAACTGAGAAACAGCAGAAAATTGAATAAGAGAGGGGCCCTCATGAAAGAGAGGTGCAGGGAGAAACGGGGATAAGAGGTATCGTTTGGGGAGAAAATGAAATAACCACGAAAGAAAATGGACAGACAGAAGAGATGGAGGTGGAAATAAATATATTGAATATATATATATATAAAAATAGAATATAGTGAATAAAAGTGGTGAATGATAAGGAGATAGAGGCAGTGCGAGAGGGATGGAGAGGAAGTGAAGGGGGAGGATGGGAAGAGAGGATGAGGGAGAGGCAAAGAAAGGGGAAGATGAAGAGACCGTGAGTGATGGGGGAGAGAGAAAGATGGGGAGAAAGTGATAGGGAGAGAGAAATGGGGAGAGAGATAGGGAGAGAGAGATGGGGGAGAGAGAGGTAGGGAGAGAAGGATGGGCATAGAGAAATGGGGGAGGAGGGAGAGAGAGAGTTAGAGAGAGAGAGAGAAGGGGAGATAAAACACTGGACTTGAAACGTTAACTCTGCTTTCTCTCCACAGATGCTGCCAGACCTGCTGACTTTTTCCAACAATTACTGTTTTTGTGGAGAGATAGATAGTTAGGGAGAGAGGGAGACATGGGGAGAGAGGGAGATAAAGGGAGAGAGGGTGATAGAGGGAGATATGAGGAGAGAGGGAGAGGGAGATAGGGGAGAGAGGGAGATAAGGGGTGAGAGGAAGAGAGGGAGAAAGGGATGGAGGGAGATATGGGGAGAGAGGAAGATACGGGGAGAGAGGGAGAAAGGTGGAGAAAGGGAGATGGGGGACAGAGGGAGATTGGGGTGAGGAGGAGTTGGGGGAGTGAAGGAGATGGGGGAGAGAAGGAGATGGGGGACAGAGGGATAGAGCGAGACAGGGAGATAGAGGGAGAGAGGGAGATACAGGGAGATAGAGAGAGTGAGAGTTAGGGAGTGATTGGACAAGAAAGTCAAAGTGAGTAAAGTGAAAGATAAACAGCAGCAAACATGGATAGATTGAGAAAGTGAAGATGGGATTGGTTAGACCACACAGGAAGAGATAAAGCAAAAAAAAGGCATGGGAAATGGGCAGAAAAAAGATAGGAGGAGACAGAGAGGGGGAATGGTGAGGAAAGGGGGTGGAAAGAGAAAAAAAATGATAAAGTCGGAACTTTGCACAGAGTCACAGCAGCTCCATACATCAACGAGACAGAGAGAGAGAGAGAGAGACTGAACACAGGACACTGGGGAACCAGTGGAAACAGCAACATGGAGATTTAGGTCAGAGTTATAAATAGCGGCTCACTTGGAGTGAACACGATGCTGGGTAAGACTGTGCGACCAAACATTGCTCACTAGTGTCCAGCATCAGGGCCAGACTGGGTCACCTCGCACTCACATGCCGGTGGCACGTGCTGGCAAAAGTGGTCTGACTGTCTGTATTCAGCCCATTCCTGTGCCAGGCACTGAAATAGAACAAGGTCAATAGCAAAGGCAGAACTCACCTTCAGTAGCGACAGCCTCCCACCGGGAAACGTCAGCTCAGCAACAGAAACTGAGACCGGGAGATATTTCTCAAGAGCAGGAGAGGAAAGGAACTCTTCACCACCAAAACCATACCCAAATAATCCAAGCAAATAGGTCAATTTTCAATGAGGGGTGGGCCAGCGTTAATTGCCCGCCTTAACTGACCCTTGAACTGGGAGGCTCGCTCAGGCCTTCAGAGGGTGGCTCAGAGACCCATTGCTGTGGGTCTGGAGTCACATGTAGGCTAGACCGGGTAAGGACGGCAGATTTTATTCACTCATGGGCCGTAGGCATTGCTGCCATTTTTTTTCCTTAAAAGGGCGTGAGAGAACCAGGTGGGGTTTTTACAACAATGGCGGATAGTTGGCACAGTCGCCATGACTAAAACCAGCCCCATCTTCCAGATGTTTCCATTCAGTTTAAATTCCGCCAGCTGCTAGGGTAGGATTTGGAACACTGTCTCCCCACAACATCAAACTATGTCACCATCTCCCCGTGCTCTCCCGAGTGCCCCTGGCCCTCAGAGTTTGGCGGAACACACTTTCCCCAGACGCAAGCCAAGTCAGACGTCGAATGCTGAACAAGAAGCCATTCGGCTCATCAAGGTCAGTGCTGGGGCCTCCTTGATAGAACAATCTGTGTTGCTGAATCCTAATGCACGGGGGGAAGTCATGCCTCTTTGTAGCTATTCAGCTGGAGAGGTATCGTCACACACAGCCTGACTGTCTCGGTCAGAGCCATTACAGTTCCCACCCTCCCTGTGTCCCACTAACTCTGGGAAGGTCAGGGCCCTGGGGCAATACTGAGGCGTCTTGGGTAGACCTCATTGGGACCGCACAGACCCACAGGGTGGGTCATAGACATTCCTGAATCATGCATGCTCAACCTCACACAGTCCACTGGAGTATTGAGAGACCAAGGATACTGTAAAATATGGTTAGAGTTCCTCCAAACAAGGTACCACATCATCTGAGGAAGAAGAGAAGGCCATTCAACCCATCGCCCAACTCATACTTTTCCCCAAAACTCCAGCAATTTCATCTCAGGAGACTTCCAATAGAGAGGATTTGGTGACACGGTCACTGGAATAGTAATTTGAAAGGCTCAGGCTAAAGGGGAAATGGGTTCAAATCTTATTCCTGCAGCCAAAGGAGTTTAAATTCAATTGATATTTCTGGAGTTGAAAGCTTGTCTCAGGGGTGGGGCGGGGAACTATCATTGACTGGACCTTTTGGGAAAAACCTGAACCCAGAGACTCCCCTTCGCCCCCCTCTACGGATTAAAACAAAGTCACAGAGAGAGCACAGAGTAAATTACCTGTGCTCGAAGGGTTAAACTCTGAGGACAGACGATACAAGGTGGAGTTGCAATCCGCAAAGTTGGTGTCAAAGCTCCCAAGGCTGGGAGGGTAGGGAGAGATGATTCCCACCGGCTACTGACTCTGGGAATAGGCTAGAAATTTGAGCCAGACCTCTCAGGAGGAAAATTCACAACTTTTTCCACAAACAACAACAGAGGGGAGGTCACAGTGGCTCAGTGGTTGGCACTGCTGCCTCTCAGCACCAGGGACCTGGGTCGATTTCAGCCTCGGGTGACTCTCCGTGTGGAGTTTGCACATTCTCCCTGTGTCTGAGTGGGTTTCCTCCTGCAGTCCGAAGATGGGTGGGTTAGGGTGGATTGGCCGTGCTAAGTTGCCCAGGGATGTGCAGGCTAGGTCAGTTAGCCATGGGAAATGCAGCGTTACAGGGATAGGGTGGGATGCTCTTCAGAAGGTCAGCATAGACTCAATGGGCCGATTGGGCTGCTTCTACACTGTAAGGACTCCATTTTAATTGTTGATTTTAAATGTAACAGATAAAGGAGCTATATAGAGTCCCAGATCAGCTTTGAGTACAAAATAAACTTGAGGGGTTGAATGGCCTCCTTCCCCCTGCTCCTCTGTCCTTACACACAATGAGAAACTTTGCTAAGCTTTACTTTTCTGCACAAACCTTTGACTTTCTCTCCCTTGTTGAGTTGGATTTCATCCTCTCCCTGTGGCTGGTATGTCTTCACGACCACAAAGACTCGGCCTGGTACAGCAGTGTACAGCCTGCGTTTCGGCCTCCAGCCCAGCACGCTCCCCGGGTATTCCTTGTTTGGGACGGCGGAGCTGGGAGCAAAGGTAAACATCACTGTCAGTGTCGGAGCCGGTGGGCATCGCATTAATAACCGTCTGCTTCTCACTGCAATTGGGGTCTCACTGTCACACAGGGACGGGCAGAACAGACAGGCAGGGAGACAGGGAGACAGGCAGGAAGGGAGGGAGACGGGGAGGGAGGGAGGGAGACGGGGAAGGAGGGAGAGAGACGGGGAGGGAGGGAGGGAGAGAGACGGGGAGGGAGGGAGGGAGATGGGGAGGGAGAGAGACAGGGAGGGAGAGAGACAGGGAGGGAGGGAGAGAGACAGGGAGGGAGG